TTACATTACATATGAGTTCAAATAAAAATCAAAGAATCACATATATATATGTGATAAATAAAAGTTTATTTCTTATGTGAGTCCCTTGCCTTTGTCCATTTTTGAACTCTTAGCTTCTGAGGTGCATACTAATAATAAGCTTTATAAAGCTCGGTGAGTTTATAGTTTTCGTGCATAAGACATGCATATTCCATTATGTATAACAACAACAACAAAATATCCAAATAATAATATGCACATTTGTTTCAAACCCGAACATACATATGCCATTTTTGTTCATGCTCAAGGCCACACCCATGCTTCTGTCCTTTTGTCAAAGCCATGCATGTTTCCGCTCTCAAGATGGGAACATATACGACCCTTTTGGATTTTTGGTCAGGCTTGTACTCAGTTGTATTCGACCAACGTACAACCTTTTATTTCATGTTTTAGAATCGTCACAACTCCGAATATTATTGGTTTTAACGTCTCCTTTTTGAATCAAAATATCATCCATTATCCGATCAACTAATCGATATATTTTAACCCCTAGTCTTTTGTTAAATGTTCATTATAGAATCCTATATATGGGGTGTTACATGAGAGAAGGACACAAAATCGTCATTCTATCTAACATTTTCTAATTTTATTTTGCGTTGCTCCACTACTGGGATTTGATGAGTTGATGCCTGGTTTTGTTCTTTGGCATTGCTGGTTTTGGTTTTGGGCCGCCAGTTGTGGCCATTTTGGTCTTACATGTCTTCACCACCACATCTCGGAAGCTTCATTATACATACATGCATATAATTAAGCTTAAAATTAAGGTTTTATCATACATGCATATAGTTAACGTTAAAACTATGTTTTTTTTATTTGTGTTAACGTTAAAAATATAATTAATTTTAAAAATATTCAATGTCAGACTTGTTTTGAAGGTATCAACGAGACCTTTCTAACAATGTAATTAGTAAAAGAAAATAATTTTTATTTTTATGTATTTTAGCTATTAATTAGTTAACTAATATAATAACAGTATACAATAAAAATTGAAAACACAATGGAAGTAAATTAACACCATAAAAATATTTGACGGGTTAAAACTGTAACTGATTTTCAACCACCATACTCAAGTTTGGTATGGTGGACCTATTTATTTCTTACTTTTTCATTTAAACTTCCTAAAGATTTTAATATTTATGGTTTCAATCCAAAAAATCTTATAGTTTCACCCTAGATTTCACGCTTATATACCTGAACAATTTTACACTTAGAATCTAAATTATTATGGTATCATGGGCAACCATACTGCAAATGGCAGGTAAGCGCATGCTCCTTGTGTTCAAAAAGGCTCATGGTGAGCCATGGCGTAAGATGAGTCCCCATCGTCACGATAAGCTTCATAGCGTTTGTGTAGGACGTGGTTCATGCCGTGGCGTTCTAAGGCTCGTCGTGGCACATGTTTTTTTACAAGACGTGATTTTTTCTTTTCTTTTCAATTTAATTTTTAAATTTTGTGTTTTTATACTTTAATTTTAGATTTTTACAAACTTATGGATGATTTATCAAACGCTTACCCAAGTAAGTGTTTACCAACAAAATTCAACACTATCACTTACTGACTCCTTAGTTGATGACCTCACTCACACCTTCTTGGATTCACACATGTCACTTTCTGGCTTGCTTAGCACAAAGTTCCTACTAGTAGGACTCATGGTTAACAAAATATTGTATAACTTTTCCAAATCTATTTTGAGTAACCGATCACAAACTTATTATATAAAAATACTTAATTTTTATGAATTTTAAATTTTATAATAACATTATATTATTGAATAATAAAGAGAAACCATATATGTATACATATAAAATTATATATATATATATATATATATGACGTAAAATTTGTTGTCTTATTTCACGCCTTAAAAACGTTTCGTCCTTACCGTCATGTGTAAAGCTTAAAGCTTGAGTTCGTCGCCATGTCTTTTCTCACGCCATTCTGAACCTTGATTACTGGACGCATTTATTTAGAATTTTCTAATATTAAAAAATGTTAATAAAATGAAAAATACTTATGGGTCTTTCACTCGTTTCTTGACACCCACTTCCTGGTTACTACCTCCTGCTTTTACTCTGCATCTTCATTTTTTATAGAGTTGTCTGCACGAATTATGATAATAGGATGGTCCAGTCGCCAATTCTCGAACCAAATCATAATGTCAACTGTATCGGAACTCTCGACCTCAAGAGTTATAGTCTTACGTGTTTGGGTTTTCACAATCTTCATCCATAATAACAGTGAATTAAAACTTAATTCATTGCAAACTGAAAATTAACTTGCACTAGAATTGAAACTTGCCTTTTCTTGAGTCGAATACAAAGAGTGAGTCTATCGGTTATGGTTTTGGCTTCGTGGGTTTAGGAGTAGTGCTCTTTTAGAGGTGGTCGTGGCTTAACGAGAGATTCGGTGGGAGTGGACGTGGTGGGGGTTGTATAGAGCTTAACAAGTTGTACCGATGCACAGGGACGGACCCAAAAAAAAAATTCATACGGTGGCACCATATAATTAATATAATATAATATATATCTAAAAATTAATTACAAAAAATATGGATAAACAACTTCTAAACTTGTACCTGACGCGTCTTCATCTTTTGAAAACGAGCAATATATACCCAAAAATAACAACAAAAAGTATGTTGAGAAACAGCTCTTAAATTTGTCATCGACGTGTCTTCATCTTTTGGAAACGATCGATGACATCTTCGTTTTTAACATTAATAAGGGCTTCCTTTTCTATGGCGCAAATGAGGGCAGAATTCAAAAAATCATCACCAATTCGATTACGTAAATCTGTCTTGACAAGCTTCATCGCCGAAAAGCATCTTTCAACCGTAGCAGTTGCAACAAGCAAAACCAGGCAAACAATATGCTCTATCTACTTTTACACTGTATTCTAACCACTGAAATTGATCAAACCAAGAAACAAGAAACAACAAACCGTTTTCCTTTATCCCCTATAACTTTGGTTGGAAAGATGTGACCTGGTGGTTGACAATGACCCCTTATCAAATATTTCCGTCTAATTTCGTCTCTTTGATTTGGGTTATAACTTATAATTTTGGGTCTYTCTGATGGATCCCAAGGAAGATCGTTAACATCAATCACATTGTTGGATGCATCATTATTACCAGTTGATGATGAAGCTTTTCGTTTCAAATATTTTTCCATAGTGAATGAGTTATGTAAATCTAAGTAATGAAAGAAATAATAAGTAATCAGTAACTAAACGTCATCAACAATTCAATTTTATCCTCAATAATAATAACTAAACATCATCAACAATTCAATTTTATCCTCAATAATAATAACTAAACATCATCAACAATTCAATTTTATCCTCAATAGTCAGTATTTGGGTTAACAGTAAGTCAGTAACACAATGTCATTATCTCACAGTTAAGAGTCAACATTCAACAATTCAATTTTATTCCATCATCAATTCAATTCATCATCAAAAATTGATTTAAGTAATCACTGTAATCAAGTAAGTAATCAACTAAAAGTCTAAAATTAAGAGTAAAAATTGATACCTAAAATGAGTAAATCTGAAAATAGAGTTCAAAACATCAACTCATTCGGTCATTCCAATCAATGAATCGTTCCATGTAACTCATTCCGAGCGGAGAATCGATGACTCAGTGAGTACCGAGTGTTCAAGACTCGTTCCAAGGATGAATCGAATCTCGTCGTCGGCTCGTTGTCGCTCACAGCCTCACACACTCACACTCGCACTCGCTCGCATCGTCTTCTCACTCGCAAGCGCACGCACCAGGCCACCAGCACGTTAGGGCTTTATTTTTTACTTCTTTGGGAATTAGGATTTAGACCCTTAGGAGTTACCGATTTAGGCTTTAATCTTGGACTGGACCAGTGGACTGAGTTTTCTTTTATTTGGGCTGGTTGGGCTTACTAAACTTATGTTATTAGATTAATCAATTTGTTGGGCTTACTTATCTAATTTATTTGGACTTTATCTTGTTTGGGTTTTAGATTTAGTTGCACTATTTGAAATTCAGAAAAAATACGGTAGCACCTTTCAAAACGATACGGTAGCACCGTTAACAAACCTAAATTTTTTACCCTTCGGTGGCTAAATAATACGGTGACACGTACCATCCATGCCAACCAAGCAGGTCCGCCCATGCTGATGCAGAGAACGTACCTCTTAAAATTCAACAATAAATGTTATTCATGCTTATTAATATAGTGTGGGTGTGGGTGTGACAAAAGCTCACAAATATTAATCTTATCGGATGAAATTTGAATATTTAACCTCTTAAATGTCGTGTTTTCAAATTTGAGAAGAAATGAGAAAATATTTCTATTTGTGCTCTTTCTAAGGAAAAAGAAATGAAAGGAAAAAGGAAATGAAAAGAAAAACATGTCTCCTTTAAAATAAAAGGTTTGATAATTTTATAATTTTAATAATCTTTTTAACGAGTTTTAATTCCTACGAAGTTTTGGAATAAAAATTATCATATTATTTTCTTTTCTTTCTTTACTTGAAAAGTTTCAAAAATATAAAAATTTTATTACTTTCCTCCTTTTTTTTTCGTTTGTAATAAAGTTTTCGAGAACATCCCTTTTTTTTTATTACAATCAAATAACTCGGAAAAAAAAAGCCTAAGAGGGTATTTACCAAACGTTTACCCGGGTAAGTGTTTATCAAGTCACATTACCTTACCGGATGAATATGATAAAGATACAAAAATCTTACTTGGTAAGAGCGACACAAGAAACAAGAGTCTTACCCGGTAAGTGAAGGCGACAACTCTTAGTACGGTAAAAGTTTATCAGGTAAATTATTACATACAATGCTGTTTTCGTGGAATAAAATCCTAACCAATAAGAAAGTAATAGTGTTAAATATTACCGATAAACACTTATAGGATAAGTTTTTGCTAAACGGCCCCTAAATGTATTACATATTTCCAAATCCCAAAAGACACCAAATGATACAACAAAATTATAATATTTTACACCGTTCTAGAATATGATACCTCCTAGAGGTCAGCGACCAATCTAGTCACCAACTGCTGCTATCTCCTCTTTTGCCCTTCGTCCTTTTTTGTCTTTTTCCTAGGACAAAATTGAAACTGATTGTGGTTTTATCTGAATCAGCTAAAAATACCCATCTGACTGAATGGGTGCAGATTACTCGACGGTGCAAGAGTTCTTGAGAGAAATGGGCTTATTGATGAGTTTGTAAACAATTGCACAAGACACCTTTTTGTAGAACTTTGGCTTCACCAATTTCCCTAACACGTAAGCCTTGGCTTTAACCGTGAAATTTAGGTTCAGTGGCACCGGTGCTGTCAGTTTCCCATTCTCGCTACTCCAATTCACACCTCCTCCGTACAATGGCACACCACGCCCTTGCAAATTTACACTTACAATTCTGTGACCATTTCTTGATTGATAGAATTTCATCAGCTGCATCAAATACCCATTGAGTTTAGACGGACTGGGTAACACCCACGTGAAAGTTGAGTCAAAATTTTCAGGATTTGGAGAAGAGAAGTTGTAACTTACAGTTCCCGTGGCTAGGGTGAGCTCGGTGTAGGCGAGATCAAGAGGTGTGGATGATACATGAACCCCAAAGAAAGTTCCTCGATTGCGAAAATTGAATTTCACAGTGGCATTCAATGTTACCATCTCTGTGGCAACTCCAGATGCATCTGCTCCAGCATTTACTACAAATTTATCAAATGAAATACTCTGCAAAAAGTCACATACATCTTTACTTAGCACCCTCACTACACGTCTAGCATTCATATGCCTTTTTAAGCAGAAATCTAATTGTGATGATGAGATTTAAGTTAGCCAATTGATTCCAAGTAATTATTGATCAGTACCCATATGAGTTTGCTGAAGAAATTGTATGATTTGGGATTCTGATCTATTCATGGGCAATTTTAGTGTCATTAAGCAAGATCGAATCGTAATGATGGGATTTACATACCAAATTGATTCAACCCAACTACTGACTGGAAAATTTGTGACTTTGTAATGAATTGATTAGAAGAGTTACCCTCATGGTGATGACGGGCTTTTGAGGTCTAGCAGCGCCCCACAACACGAGAGCGAAGAAAGTGAAAAGAACAAAGAAGCCAACGACGAAGGCCGGAAAATAACACCGGCGAGGAATCCCCATCCGACCATTTTCATCGTTGAACCCTTCTTCCTCAATTGCATCGAACCCCTTCTCCCCTTTCCGGTGATGTTGATGTTGGCTGCCTTTCCTTGATCCGGGTCGTAACGACCCGGAATATCTGGTGGAAGATGAGTTCCGGGATTGACGGCCAGGTGACCCGCTGGGGCTGAGCACCGGCGTCGAGTGAAATGAGTTGGTAGTCTTTTCGCCGTCGTGCGAGTCACGCGATGGACTCTGTACATAGTACGCCGGCTGCCGCGGTGACGACGCCGTCAAGCTGGTAACCTCGGAATCTGTCTTTGCGTGCATCGACATTTTCTTATCGGAATAAGCCGGCGTTCCCAAAAAAGCTTGCGAAATCTTATTTGGTTTCAGAAGATTTGATAAGCAGCTGAAAAGGAGGACAACTCACTTGAGTGTTTAATCTTCTTTCTCTAAAAGCATGTTATTGGGGTTGGTTTGAAGGCTGGAGTTCAGTGGATTTGTTTATTAATAGGAACAACCCACGTTCCGTATATATATATATAACATACACGTATATGAGTTTCGTGTTATTTTCAAAAATACTACAAACTAATATAAAACATACATGTGAATAATTCCATATTATAAAATATTTGACAAAAACTTTTAAAATCCATTTTTTATACATGAAGTATTTTTATTAATGCATGTTACTTGAAATTCAAAATTATAAGTAAATTTTACGTAAATATAAGTTATTAAAACTTTATTTTTAAATTAGTGTAAGTAATTACAAATAAACATGATCAAATACAGGATAAACACATAATTCTAAATATAAAAAATTTAAAATATAATTAAGATAATTATTGAATTCTAACATAATATTTACTTATTGTCTTTATAAAAATTTAATACCAAAAATTTTAATTAAATTTTAATACCAATAAACACACAAAAATGCTCAAATTTTAATGCTATCTTATCTTTTATATTTTAACTATGCTTTAAAACTATTATTAAAATATAAAATATTATTATAACATTATTAAAAAGACAAAATTTGATGATTCACTTTTTAATAACAATAAATCTCTTTTGTTATACTATAATGGTTTAAGTTGAAACTCACAAACATATATTTTCTAGTCATTATGTTATTTTTATTAACATGAATATCCAACTCGTTATTATAGTCGATAATCATAGGACGACCACCTGCAAACGGAATCACCAAGTTTGAACCTTTGTAGCCACAAGAAGATTTTTATTATTTCTTAGATTCATACCTACGACATCCAAACACTTTTAACGTTTAAAGTCCAAGCTCAAACCAATCGTACACCACCCTTGTGATTTAGTCATCCATACCAATACAATTTATAATCATATCTAATAATTATAAAGCATATATAATCTTATTCCTTACATTTAAATTGATGTAAAAAGTGAAATGCATTGAAATTAATTAATGCAAAGAGCAAAAGAATACATTAGTACTCGTATTAACAAATATATATTAGCTTAATAAATAAATGACCGACATATTAAATATGTTTTTAAAGCATTTATGTAAAATGATGACACGTCATCGATCACCTTCCAAACGGTATATTAAACCTAAATATATAATGATCGATTTCTATGTGAAAAAAAAATATATTGGGAGATGGTGAAGAGGAAAAATAAAAGGAAAAGATTGAGAGCTTAATTAAAAAATGAGGTGTAAAAAATAAATATTAAAATATTTTTGCGTATAGGTTAGAAACTTGTATAATTAATAAATGTTGTTATTAAAAAACAAATAATGAAATTTTTAATTAGTTTTGTAATATGATAATTACTGTCGGTTGGCATATGCAAGATTGATTGACCACCGACAAACTCCAAATACTAATCTTAAAAGGATTAATCGTCGGTGATTTTTGGTTTTGGCATATTTATGCAAAATACATCATTTAACACTCTTTAAATGTAAGTGTTCAAAAGGCTAAATTACAAAAAACCGTCCACTTGGACTTGGAATAAAATAAAACAAAATTTTGGTTTTTGGAAATTATAAGGTTTGTTATTGTGTTTCTGGTACTATTCGTTATGATTTTGTTAGTGCTGCTAACTTAATGTTGGCTGTTTTTTTTGAAGGTGGTTTTTGGTAAATGAGACATGATGGAATAAAATAAGACGAAATTTATTGTCACACGTTTGGTATAACATCGACAGTACAAAAACTCACTGTCCAATATTTGACGCAACATTAAACAAAGACATGGTGGAGAGAGTAGGACAACCAAGAGTTTTCTTGTTCCACCGAAATAAGTGGAATAATATGGGACAAAGGAGAAATAAAAACTAAAAAATTTCTATTATGCTCTCATTTGATGTATAACCATGGTATGGTATTTGTTTTGATTATCAATACTGTTCAATGTCGTCTTCACCACCACCATCGGCGGCCACCAGTAGCCACCCCCAACAACCGTCGGCTATCTCCTCCTACACTACAACAACCTCATACACCACCACCTCCACAACCACCATTGGTCACCTACCACCACTATCCATCGCCACCACCACAATCGTTGCAAACAACTTTCATTGTGCATATGAAAATTCATAAGGATCATCCAAACCGAATCAAACATAGATTCTTCTTTGTACAAATGGGGTTTTTTTAAACTACCATTAAGTATAACAAATTATGCGTTCAAATTTCATAATATTATATATGTATGTATTTATATATACACAAATTGTGTAAAATGCTTATAAATTAAATTATTTAAATACTTATTTTATATGTATCACTTATAACTATCATATGATATATATAAGGTATATTTCTTTTACAACCTTATGCATTTGTACAACATTTGCAACCCAATTAATTGAGATATTTATAGAAATAATTGGAGTTCATTTATTATGATTTTAATATTTATGGAATATGAATAGAGTTTATTAATTATGATTAATAGTTTATATTATGAAACAATTAATTGATTAAAAATTGAATGGTTGAGATGAGTGTTGTATAGGTTGTAGGAATGGCAAAGGGTGTAGAATAACATCCCTCTATATATATATATATATATATATATATATATATATATATATTTTTTTTTTTTTTTCAAACAACATTTAGGGACAACTTGTCTAGTCTTGTTCTAGTCGTATCTAATATCAGACATCTTGTCCCATTAAGTCATGTTCAGTCCAGTCCAACCCTCTTGTCCTGCATAATTTGTCATGTCCAATTTGTATGGTTGGTGGAGGTTGACAGATACATAATATGAAAATCTAGTTCAGTGCCCTACGCAAATCCTCTTGGTTTTTTGAGCAAATTATATTATTCATCCAATAATTTATACGAAATCACATTGTACATCCTCGAATTAAAATAATTATGTACGTTATTCCTATACTATGTATTTTATAACCCTTTTGATCCCTTATTCTAATTCTATCTAAAAAATCCCATTAAGTAGAATAATTAAAAGGACATTTCAGTCATTTTATAAACTTTTCTCATTTTACATCAAAAATTAAAAACAACTATTTCTACAACCATTTCCTAAATGTCAGCAACATTTGGGTAACCATTTCGCACCAATAACATAAATTTTTCTCTTGCCTCCTCATTTTTCAACCCAAAAACCACTAAAAAATCAAAATCAATCTAACAGATCAACCCTAAACATTAAACATTAAATATCAATCCAACAAATTTCTTTTTGTAAACCAATTCAAGAAAACAACATAAACCTAGTTGATTTAATTCATCTTAAACTAGAAAAACTTATAATCCAAATGTTCCGATCGAAATCAATAAAAAAATCATTCTAAAAGTTTGTGACACTAAACAGTGAATCATGATCCTAAAATTAATACGTTAAATCACGGTGCATTTTCAAGGTCAAAACCCTAATAATAAGAAGGAGAAGAACAAACATATCTCAATTGTATCACGAGAGATCTAGAGTTCGGGCAGGCAGTGCAATGGCCTCAAAAGTTTAGGGACTTAACATCTCAAAAATGTGAAAGTTTGTTGGGTTTTTAAGAAAAAATTATTCTTTATTTTATATTTAAAAAAAATTTATATTGAGAATGCTCTAACAATTAATAGACGTGTCAATAATAAAATCTCCATAAATGTTTCAAATTTTGAAGATAATTTTAAACTTATAGAATGAAACAAATGTGTGTTATTATATATAGTTTGGTATAGAAAAAGCAAAGAGAGTAAAGGTAATACCTTGACATGGTATACGACAATTTGATGCATAATATGTATAACAGTCATGTCTCCAAGTACCAATATTAAGGTATGACAACATTTAGTTGAAACTAATATATATATATATATATATATATATAGAGAGAGAGAGAGAGAGAGAGAGAGAAAGGGGGGGGGGGTTTAATGTTAATCTTAACAGGATCTACAAGAGTTTATAGATAATAGTTTTTTTTTTTGTTATTTAAATATTTGTGTTAGATTTTAATTGATATAAATTATTAATTATTTTTTTTCATCTTTGTCTCTTTTTGTACTTTTTTTAATTCTAATAGAAATATATTTATATAAGTAATGTTTAATTCTTATTTTAAATTATTATTGAATACATATATTCTATTTATATTAAAACAAATAAATGTTTTATTCTTATTTAAGTCTTTTGCTTGTCTACTCCTTTTTTACCTCTATTTAAAAATAAATACATTCTTATTAATATAAACGTTACTGTTATTTTCTTTTTAATAATTATACAATTATAAAAATAAAACATAAAAATTAAAATTTGACGTATAAATGAAACATCAAATAAATTATATTACGTTTTTACTCATTTTAAAATAACATAATTTGTCGTACAATTAACACGTAAAAGCTGTTTGTACTTATTTACTCGATCTAAATACGAGGTAGCTCATGTAGTTACACAGAGATAACATAAATGAAAAAAATGTGTTGCAACAGTAGAGATCGAACATCCTTCTGCCAAGTCTAATTTTATATAATGATTATCATTAATATACCAATTGCAAAAGAAACATGTTGATACCACGATAGCAGAGTAGATCTAAACGATAACTACATTGCACAACATGTAATGTCTATAATATGCAATATCACATTATACTTGAAACAACCAGGACACCATTTTCAAGCATTGTCATCCAATGTTCAACTGAGGCATCTTAATCTGATTGAAAGAAGTTTAAAGAGTTGTAAACTAAATTTCAATATTGACTTCTGAATATGTTGAGGTATTATGTCTTGTATACGTTTAGTTCTTCCACCATCCATTTTTGGCAACGTATCCCCCTTCCATCTTTAGAACTGAAACCTAACACCGCCTTCGACCATTTGGTGGGTTTGATTTTGACTTACAAAGAGCAAACTCTTTTGTTAAAAAATGAGATGGGTTTTGAGGTGGAATATTTTTATCTCTTAACGGTGGTTGGTAAAAGTATTTTTTAGTATGGTGGACTCAACTCAATCAAACAGAAATTCCCATGTGTTCAAAGGAGTCGTCTTGAGAGAAGACCTTCTAGGTGAAATCTAATCCCGTTCATTCGGTTGAATTTCACTCTCTAAATCTTGGGGTTCATGGATCGGATCTCCAAACTCTCTTTGGTTTGTTTGCTTTTATAGTTGGTCGGTGCTAATCGCTTTTAACATTCTTTAGGTTCCAACTTTGTTTGTTTTGTCTTCTCTGCACCACACAGATTTGTCGTAAACTTTGCTTTCGTTTAATAAATTTCTAAAAAGGTTTAAAACGTATTTTAAATTCAAATAACACGAAAATTAAATATGGCACCTAATTTCTTGAAATTAAATACATGTATTAATTGGAACATACAGCTATAACTATCACATAATTTACAAATAATTTCTCCATTTTGTGCTTATGCATCAGAAAAAATAATTTGTGCATTATTGTTCATTTTCCACTCAACAATTTATTATACATATAATTGACTTTTTTTTTATGTACAAGTCTAAAATCTTAACGGAAACAGTTAGTTTTACTATCGGTGTAAAGAAAAACGTCTTTATACACCTTACTTTAACATGGAATATATTAAACATACTATTGATTTCTTTGTGTATTTTGTAGGTCGTTTATTAACTTGTAAAATAAGTTTGAATTTAATTTGATTGATCATGATATTTGTTATGATTAAAGACTAATTTCAGCTTGAATTTACCTTCCTTGTATGCTTGAAATCGGTTTGAAATAGTTTTAAGACGACTTTTCCTTTCTCTTTCTAATTTCGTATATGTAATAAGAATGAACATATGACATCGGCTAATTTTGGCTATCTATATATCTTAGCATTTCGGCTCGGCTCGGCTCTTTATCAAACCCAACTTACCTGTCCCAATCAAAAGAAATTATACACTTAAGTCCATAATTGAAAGAATGTCAAAGTTTTGAAAATTTAGAAATTTGATATTTTTTTATTAACTTGGATATCCAGCCCGCTATGCGAGCCAACTAATGTCAGGGTGACCATCTATTTTGCAGATAGCCCGGAGTCACCGCATTTGAACTTCCGTGGCCACAAGGGGATTTTTATTCCTTCTTGGATTTGAAACTGAGACCTCCTGATACTTTTGACCTTTGGAGCCATCATCAAACCAATTAGGCACCACCCTTGTGGTTTGAAATTTGATATTTTTATTTCCATCTCATAGAATAGTTTTTTTCCCGCTCTACTAGCCTTTGTTGGTTATGAGGAAAGCTAGAGTGAAACTAAGTAGAGATCCAAACTCAAGTTCCCAGTGAAGACCAATCAAAACTTTACTGATTCCATAAAATACGTATGTTACTTCAAATTTTTAGGGTCTTTTGCAAGATATAATGTAATTTAGAATTAAAATTTCATTTTAATTATATGTTTAGATTAAAGAAAAATTTGAAACTAAAATATTGGGATATCAAGCATCAATTTAGAAATCCCCTTGGGGTAATTAGTATTTGATAGAGTGTGTCCGCAATAATGTTTAAAATATTTTAAAATCATTTGTTTCGTAATATGATAAATTAATAAATTTATTTATTTCTATAATTATTTATAAATTATCTATAGGAAATGTAATTTTTAAACAAAAAAATTTCAAATCCAACCAATTCCAAATAAAAACCCCCTTATGGTCACGGATGTTCAAATGCGGTGATTCAAGACTACTGACAAAATAGATGATCATTCTGAAAATAATCGGCTCGCATAACGAATTGGATATCTAAATTAATAAATAAAAAAAACTCAAATTTTTTAAAAGCATTACTTAAAACCAAGCGCACCCTTAGCCAAGCTCATAATAAAAGTAAAGGAAAAAAAACTTATAGAAACATTAAATATTGAATCAACAAAAAATTGTGTTTCTAGAATATATTTTCTTAATTTAAGCTGCGGTTTTTATTTCTTTCTTTTATCCGCAGAGTTATCAACAAATTATGATTCTTTTAGTAGTTCCGGTAATAGATTCTTCTAAAACAACATCGAAATTATTTTTGTTTTTAAGAGATAATTCAGACAAAGAGACGCCGGTTAAGTTCAAGAAGTCCAATTTGAACTATTCTTGACATTGTCAAATATCAATCAAATTATAATATAATCTTTGGCTTTTCACATTGAAAAATCAGAACTTTTCTCAAATTTTAATATACGTACTTTTAGCGTATAAATTGCAACAAAATAATATAAATAAATGAATATACATTAAAATAACACTGAAATTTCCCAGTAAAACACAATGAATGTGAAAAAAACTCCAAACCTTCACAGCAAAAACACTGTGAAGGTTTAGTGCTATTTAAGTGGTTACATGAATCTCACGAAAATATTCTGGTCTTACATGATCTCAACTCCACTTAAAAGATGTGAAATTTTAACAAGTTTTTATTTATCGATTGTGAGGTTGATTGTTTTTTATAACCGTTGATGTTTACGTTACTGATTGTTTCTATAAAAAAAAATTGAATATCAAATTAACCAAACGGTATTAATCGATTATTAGCAAACAGCTATTTTTTAAAATAAAATTCCGAACGTTCCTTTTTCAATACCATGAATAATTAATAGAAATATAATAGATTTGGTAGTAAATTTGATTTCGTCCCCTATATTTTTGCATGTGTTATTTCTTCCCATGAAACGTCAAACTAAAACAAAGGTCAAAAAGTCAAATCAAAGTTCAAGATGTTGAAAGAATATTTCAAAACTGATCCCAAACTATATAATCGGCCCGTTTCTCTCTCTCTCTCCGTAACCAAGAATCTTGCCGAAGAACAAGGCTCCAAATGCCGCGATCCGTACACAATTTTGTCCCCGTCATCTCAATATTCTTCGCAGCAATTCTCTGTATATTCCAATTATCGGCGTGTCTCAAGGTCTGTTGATTCTTTTCTACGTGTTTTCTGTTAGTTTCTTCCGGTGATGATTCGTCGTGATATACAATCAGATCGGAGAAACATGTTCTATGGACGACAACAAATGCGATGGCGGATTGCGTTGTGGAACGTGCCCTGCGAGTGGCAATACCCGCCCTAGATGCATCCGGATCCAACCAGTCAGTCCTATATCGAAGGTTTGGAAGTTTCTGTGTTTGTTAGATTTAAAATTGGGAAATCTGATTGTTCTAGGGTTTATGCGTGAATTTGAATATTTGGAACAGGTGAACGGGCTTCCGTTTAATCGGTATTCGTGGCTGACGACTCATAATTCATTTGCGCTTTCCGGTTCAAAGTCACCTACCGGTTCTCCTATTCTTGGTCCCGCCAATCAGGAAGATGATGTTGCATCTCAACTACGCGTAAGTAAGATGTTAACGATTTCGTACAAATTAGCAATGATAGATGAAAACCCTTTACGGTTCCCTTTCTTCTTGCAATTTCTTGTTTGTTCGATCCTAGTCAAAACCCAGCATACGTACAACTCAAAAACCTCAAGTATCTCCACCTTAACAAAAAAAACCCTTCTCTAACAAGCGGTGTTTGAGATTACTTATTGGCTTATTTCGGTGTAGTACTGATAATAAGCACTTTTGAGTGTTTGGATAAACAACTTATGCCGGTGTCAAACCAGTGATAAGAAGTTTTTGAAGAAGTTAAACTCTTCTAACTTATAATAAGTTGATAAGTGTTTTTTTAGAAACCATAAGTCGTTTCAAATAAACAATTTCAAACACCCTGTAAGTTTCTTTGTAGATTTTTCAAACTTTTTTGGTGCCAGATTTTAACTTTATATTATTTATAAAAATCAATATATTAAAATTTATATAAATATATATATTTACAAACTCAATCATTAATATAAAACAATTAACCGAGAATATTTATGGAAATACTTTAGAGTTATAAAATTCATTGTTTTTAATTTTTGTGGCATACTTTTATACAAATCCTATGAATTTGTTGACAATTGACTTTTATAATAAGAAATTTTATATAATATATCGTGTTGATATATTTAAAATAAATAATTTATGTAAAATCGGTATATAATTAAAGTAATTATATTTTCTTGATATAAATAATATGTAGAGCATAGATCATCTACAAACACAAATTTTACAAAACCAATCCCAACCATGTATCTTGGTTGTTTTTTAATATAAAATGTTGATCATAATAAATGAACTTTAATAATCTTATATAAGTACCCAAATCATAGTAAAAAATTAGGTTTTCGAAGAATTTGTATAAAAATATGTTAAAGTTTATTTTTTGAATTAATTTAAATATAATTACTAAAATTGTATTCTAATGTATCAATAAATAAAACTGATTACATAACTTTTATAAAATTAAAACTAATTAAATACAAAATCTAATGCATTTGCTTGAAACATAAGAAATAGTGATTGCATGATGATAAAAAGGAGAAGTTAAGCAATAGTAATTAATGATGACGGTCTCTAACTTATTCTATAATAAGTAAGAATGTGGAATGAAAATGGTCGCAATTTCCCACCTGAAAACTCTTGGCATCCTACGACAAATTGGTGCAATATATAGACCCACACTATTTCTATTTTCAACCCATTGGAAAGTCAATAAATGTTATGGACCTGGTCACCCTTATCAAAAACTTGACTTTGAAATGTACTCTATACCAATATTGCACAAATGGATCACCAACAAACATATAACAAAGAGGGGTTAGACAAGTTCTTGGATTAAATACTAGGTTAGATATATGAAACCTTCGTCAAATTACTCTCTAAAAAAACCCTTGACGAAAGAACGAAGGTTTGAATATATATAAAAGGAGAAATTGTTCAAGTTTAACTGAGATGAGACTTAAAAAATCGAAAACACTAACAATGTTTGAAGCTTCAACTTCTTATGTGATTTGCACTTGTTTGTCCTCTGTGTAGAATGGGGTTCGAGGACTAATGTTGGATATGTATGATTTCAACAACGATATTTGGATGTGCCATTCCTTCGGTGGCAGATGCTACAATATTACAGCATATGTAAGCGAACTTATTTGCATTTGCCTATCTTTTTTTTTTTTGTCGTTTTCATTTGTGATTCATGCGACTTGTTTTTCTTTGTACGTCTAGCAACCAGCCATGAATGTCCTAGGAGAGATTCAAAAGTTTCTGGAAGCAAATCCAACTGAAATTGTCACCATTTTCATTGAGGATTATGTTACATCCGCAGGCGGATTGACCAAGGTTTTTAATGCATCTGGGCTTAGCAGATACATGTTTCCTTTGAGTCGGATGCCCAGAGACGGTGGAGATTGGCCAACAATCACCGATATGGTCGCCCAAAATCAACGGCTGGTTGTCTTCACCTCCAAATCTGCAAAAGAAGCCTCGGAGGGTATCGCTTTTGAGTGGTCATTCGTAGTTGAAAACAAATGTAAGTTTAGTTAAACAACATGCTTATTGTTTGATTGATATGTATGTATATATATATATATATATATATATATATGTGTGTGTGTGTGTGTGTGTGTGTTTTTTTTGAAGAGATTTATGATGGAAAGTATAAGTTGTTATCCCAGATGGAAACGATGGTAAGACGCCTGGTTCCTGTGTTAGTCGGTCTGAGTCTTCTCCAATGAACACGACAAATCGTAGGTTGGTTCTTCAAAACTACTTCTCCACGAATCCTAATGTGACGGGAGCTTGTATCGATAACTCTGCTCCACTGATCGCGATGACAAACACATGCCAGATAGCAGCAGGTGGACGATGGCCGAATTATATTGCTGTTGATTTTTATCAGGTATAGTATCACCTTATTTACACATCTTAGATAAAAAAATGTCACTTTCAGAGTTGAAACTTAGGGAACGTTTGGTTCGTCGGAATCCATCGGAATCTGATGGAATTGGAATGGTCAATTCCATTCCAACGTTTGGTTACCTATGGATTTTAATTCCATCACTTATTCTAAGGAATGGTTAATTCTTTCAAATGGTGGATTTTAATTCCATCAATTCCATTCCAACGTTTAGTTACCCTTGGAATGGAATTGATGGAATTAAAATCTACCATTTGAAGGAATTAACTATTCCTAAGAAGAAGTGATGGAATTAAAATCCATTTTATCCAAAATTTTGTAAAGGAAAAAAAATACCCTCATTACAATCTATTAACCCTAGCCGCTCCACATTCTTCTCCCACTTCCATTTTCATCTTTTCCTCTGTCGAACTGCTTCCACCTCTGGATCGAACTGCTTCCACCTTTAGGGATATGGATTTCAATCCATTCCAATTCATGTTTGGTTTATTGGATTGTCCGGGTTTGAAATCCTATAAACATATGATTTTGAAATTCTTAGAGGTGCTCGGAATTTCACGAGATTTCATAGGATTGTATGCAATAATGTATTGAAAAATATTAAAAATGTTTGTTTTGTAATAATCGATTAATAGAAATGTAATTTAATTATTTTTATAAATTATGAAATTTCATTTCATTCCAAATTTTGCAAACCAAATACACCAATGATTTCAAATCCATTTCAATCTAAATCACTCCGTGAAATCCAAATATCTCAAAAACAATCCTGCAAATCAGACTGTGCTTTAGTTTCGTTTTCCTAAAGCTTATCGGATGTGAAATGCTTGCTAACTATCCATTTTAATGACGTAACATGTTATATGATAAGGTAAATAGTAGTGGTGATTTTTTGGTCCGCTAAACAATGAATTAGACATCGAATGGAGATATGTGGGTTTGATACTTTTGAGCGGTGTTTATTGGTTGGTACAGAGGAGTGATGGCGGAGGAGCAGCTGAAGCTGTTGACGAAGCCAATGGTCATCTGACTTGTGGATGTCCCAACATTGCATATTGCAGGGTATATATGTTCATTTTCAGCTGTTTTTTTTACTAAATAAGGGCTGTTTACTAAGCATTTACCCGGTAAAATTCAATATTACTATTTACTTACCGAGTAAGATTTTAGTCAACAAAAACGGTTTTATATGCAACAATTTACCCGGTAATAGCTGACCATGGTAAGAGTCATTGTCCTCACTTACCGAGTAAGACTCTCGGTCTCTGCCTAGCTCTTACCGGGTAAGATTCTTGGACATTGCAATATTCATCCAGTAAAATAATGTAACTTGGTAAGCGCTTACCCGAGTAACCATTTGGTAAATGGCCCCTAAACTAAAATGTTGGTCCCTGATTCCATTAAATAAGGGGTATTTTGTTATTTTTTATCTTTTACCCAATTAAAATGATTTTGGTTTATGTGGTATTTGATTGGGTAAAAATTCAAAAAATCGATAAAAGAAATAAAATGTCTTATATTTAACGACTGTTAGAGAAATAGATTAAATACAAATGTTTTTACAAACCATGATGATCATCTTATAATTTTAAAAATATTAAAACAAAAATTATTATTTCAGACAAACCATGTTGACCAATTTTATAGTTTACCTTTTTACATAAATCTTTTTAAAAGGTATGCAGAAAAAATATGAAAGTGGTATTACGAGATAAAAAAATTAAACTGACATAAAATAAATACCTTATAAAGTAAAATTTTACAAGTTGCACCCTTGTACTTGGTATATTTATCATTTATAGCTTCATCCAGTATCAAAATGTTTTGAACACAATAGTTCTTTAAACTTATATGACACGAACAAATTGGTTTTTCGAATACCATTACCAATAAGGTAGAATCGCCCCTAATGAATAAGGTTATTTTGGACAGTTGAATGCGACATTTGGGACATGCGATATCCCGGTTCTTTCGCCTCCACCACCAGCACAGTTGCCGCCAGATGGTTTTGATGGAGGTCTTAGTCTTGGTAACGGTTTCTCAATTAAATCAAGAACGTTCTACGGTTCAATTTTTATTGCGTTGATGTTACTAGTTTTATAAACTTGTAGCTTTTGGGTTTTTTCTTTTTACAATGTTGATTCATAGGTTGGCTTTTGGGCTTTTTTTTTTGTTATGAGGTGTGTGTATATATATATGTTTAGCCATGTACATGTACACTTTCAACTATCTTATGACTTAGATTCACATTTTACTTTTTGAAATCTTTTGATGGCATAAATATATTATTATCGATCGGATATGTATAATATGAAAATACGAATTCCAACTTAGAGAAATATTTTGTGAAAAATAACTATTTTTTAGTTATTATATATTGTGAAAGTTACACAATAGATAAATAGTTGTATACAGTTTATATATATGCAAGCAATAAAACTAGAGAATTACGAAAAAAACAGATTAAAAAATATATTAAAATAAATGTCAAATTATAGATAATAAATTGATCGTTTTTGTTAATAATTTATTTTTTTTCTTCTAATTTTTGTTTATATTTCACCGATTTTTAATTTTAAAAAATGGGTGGGACGGGGTGATATTCTTCATTTTATTTAACAGATGATTATATCTTCAGTTTTTTTTCTCAGGTTTCTTTTACGATCTCACCTATATATAAGATAATAATAAAATGAGAATCACAAAAATGTTATAAATCCGTGAGAACCAATATAAAACTATTTTTTTTACATGATTTAAAAGAAAAGAAATTTTTTTTAAAGATGTTTTCATATCTATTTGTGTTGACATTGTGAAAAAAATTACATTTGATTTATTTTTTTGGGTTCATTTAATGAAACAAAAAATACATGTGAAAAATATTCACATTGTGAAACAAACATACATGAAATCATCACATTATGAAATAAATATATGTTATAATATAAAATATATGTAAACAATACTTACAGTGTAAAACAAATACATATAAAACAATTACATTATAAAATAAACATGGGTCTTTAACATCTTTGTAGTTCTAATTTGTCAAAGAAAGAAAGAAATAAAAACTAAAAACTTGTAAATTAATAAAGCTAGTTGTTTTCAAATATATTCCATTTTATTAAAAACTAATCAATAAATTAAATAACAAAGAAACATTCTAAATTCAATAGTTGAACCCGGACCCGTACCCGGACCTGGACCCGGATCGCGTAACAGGGCTTTTGCCGATCTATTTTTTGGCGCCAAAATGTTATTCCCGCTATTTTCATACACCCCCTTCTTCTCCCTCTTTCCATTATCAACCCTATCTATCGACCAACTTCCTCCCTAGATCTATTCAACAAATCAAAGAGAAATCAACCTAAGTGCGCGCGAGATCAAAATGGAAGACGATCAGCAGAGACCAAAGAGGAATACCAAAGGAGCAGACTCAGAGAAGCGTGCCGAAGCACTCCGCAAAATCAACATCCGCAGACAAGGCGGCGGAGGCGACAACGGCATAGACCGTTACCAGATAAAGATCGATGAACCGATCTACGATACCGTTGACGAGGATGAGTACCAGGCCCTAGTCGCCAATCGCCGTGAAGATTTCAAAGGGTTTATTGTGGACGATGACGGTCTTGGTTACGGGGACGAAGGCGAAGAAGTTGATTGGACTCAATCCGGTGTAGTTCCGTCCTCTGAAGAGGAATCGGAAGGTGAATTGGAGAGGAAGAAGCGCAAGAAGACGAAAACGGAAAAGGAAAAGAAGGAACATAAAAAGCCTTCGTTTGAAGCTGCGGCTGCTTTAATGGGTAAGCAAAGGATATCTAACTTGTTTACGTCTGCTGTTTTTAATAAGAGTAAGCCTGCGATGGTGTCTTCCGATAGCATTGTCGATGATGTGATTGCTGAGTTCGCACCGGATGAGAATGATAAAGAGAAAAGGAGGCGAGGAAACAAAAGATTATCTGAAAACGATAAAATTTTAGCGCCAACTAGTTTGATTACATCGGTTAAGGCTGAGAAGGCACCTGCAAGTTTGGTGGTTGGTAGTACTTTATTGTCAAATAGTTTACATAAACATGACGTACTTGAAGAAGAGAAGGAATTGTTAGAGATACCTAACAATGGGAAAGATTTGGGTGTTGTGGAGGAGCCAGCTGTGGTGCCAAGTCAAGTTGAGGAGTTAATGGATGAGGAACTGAAAGTTGAGCCAATGGTGAATAGGGCTGATACTTGGACTTTAAATGCGAAAATTAAAGAGGAAAAGGATCCAACTTTCAGTGCAACTGCAGGATTGCAGATAATTGAAAATTCTTGTTTGATTGCTGACATCGGCCCTGGTTTGAATTCTGATGAAAAACCGCCATTCGTAGTAGATTCTGATGGATCTCTGCCTTTCTATGTGCTCGATGCTTATGAGGAGTTTTCTGGTTCTAATGCTGGCAATATCTATCTGTTTGGGAAGGTATTTTGGCTATCTAATTATATGCCAGTCTACAGTGTTCATTTTTTATTCTAACACTTAATTAAGTTGACATGCGCAATATTGCTTGATATTATCATTCACGATCTTGGTAATTAAAAAATACTAAATAAACTTGACATTCTAGCTGCAACTTGCTCTAGCATCTGTATCTTCAACATGATGCATCTAACTTCTTTATCAATGTACTCGGAAGCGTATTAGATCTTAAATCGGATCATATTGTTTTCATGTCATTTTTTGCATTATTTTCTGGTCCATGATTCAACACTCAAAAAAGGTGCTTATCTTAGTTTGAACTAACAGTCTGCCAACAAGGAGGCATCACCACTTTCAAGTTTTATGAGCCATGCCTTTTCTCATGTTTGACAATGTGATGGCAACCAGAAATCTCATGTGGGTATGCTTAGAATTTATCTGTGGAATCACCAAATTTGACGCTAGTCATATTGTAGATTGCTGGCAAGTGGCAAGGATTAGAAAAAGGCTATCGTTAGACAATTCTTACTGTTGTCAGTGAATAATAGAAGTTTTTATATACTTATAGAAGTAGTGTAAATATTCACTGTCTTGTTGGGGAATCCCCCTCCCCCCCCTTTCTCCCTCCTCTTATTATAGAGTCTACCGATGTATGAAGTTGAACATTTCACAATATAGATGAATACGAGCAATAACTTGATTGTAAAAATAGTCTATGGTGCTGTTAATGTCTGTCTTCCATGATATGGTTTGATGGCATGACCACAACCAAAAAACCAATACTAAAGAACCTCCTTGGACTTCACACAAAACCTAAGTATACAAAGTACCAGTATTGCAATCATGTGCTTTTTTAACTCCACCGTTGACCTTGTACGTTGGTTGGATCAAAAGAATCAATTTTTGTAGCACACTTTTGTCTAAAGCAACATGCATTATGATCAACCTATTTCCAATGCATATATATGAGGTCATCAATGGAATTCGGTTGGTTAGAATTCATCTTATCATGACTTTCAGTCATACACTTAAAGGTAGTGATCTAGGCAGGTATAGTTTCAAATAAAATGATGAAATTAGCTTTTTTTATAATCACCCATTGCTTCATGCACTCCTTAAGGCTTACCTGGCAGCTTTTAGCCTATCATCCTTAGGCAAACTTTTGGTTTGGGTGGGTGGTAACAACATTTGTTAAGTGTAACACCTCATAGGTCAACCTTATGCAAACTTTTGGTTTGGGTGGGTGGTAACAACATTTGTTAAGTGTAACACCTCATAGCCCAAAAGCAGTAAGCCAACACAATAACTTCTAATTCAACTTAAAACCATGGTGGAAGTCATTGGTGGTAGCCCATAACTTTGAGCTTATAATGAGCTCACATAGCTGCTCCTATATCCATATGGGATGGGTTATTACAAACTCCCCCACTTAATTTCTTGACGTCCTCGTTAGGTCTTCCCAAAATCCTCCTTGTAATCGGTGATGAGGGATTTGCCTAAGAAATTACAAACACCCCCTCGAGGACTCATCATGCTCGATGTGGTTTGCCGCACCATTCCTGATTGTACAAGGATCGGCTCTGATACCACTTGTCACGTCTTATATCCCAAAGCAGTAGGCTAACCCAATAGCTTCTAATTCAATTTAAAACCATGGTGAAACTTATTGGTAGCCCACAGAGCTTATAACGAGCTCACAAATCTACTGCTTCTAATAGATGTAGGAGCAGAAGGCCAGAAGCTGATATGATATCAACTTCTTTCATTAAAACATGCTTCTGATATCTCTCTATATTTACTTGCTTTAACATACTATGATGATCTCACTATCAATCTCAATATGAATATGATGATGTAATTTGACATCTACTGTTTAACTTAACATGTAAAGTAGTAATTGCTAAATATCAATAGCCTGTGAAAATGAGTACCTTTCATACCTTGTAGATGTTTAATGTGAAGAAGGGGTATTCTTGAACTATTATGGTGAACGATGCATGATGGTTATTTTCCTAATTTACCTTGTATTCATGCACCACCTCTATTTTACATAAGTGTTAGTTTAGCTATATTAAGATAAAGAGTGATCTTGATCTTTGAAATTTGTCATTTGAATCAAGGTCAAAGCAGGAATTACTTATCACAGCTGCTGTGTGGTAGTGAAGAATATGCAGAGATGCATATATGCTATCCCGAATGGTCCTGTATTTGAAGACTCTGCCATTGTGAAGCTTGTGAGAGATGTTGAAGAGTCAAAAGTGTCGTCTACAGCTTTTCACACCAAGCTTCATGTAACAGACCTGTTGCCTAGCTCCCATTTTCTTCTTTTTAAGTTACATCATCATCATATTTCTTGTATTATTAGTTAATGCCTTGCTGTTATTGATGGTTTTGTTGGCCTCTCTTGCTTTTGAGTTTCTTCAACTGCTTACAGACATCTTTGTACTTTATTAGGAGATGGCATTTGGATTGAAGGCCAACATAACAAAAGAGTTGCTTGACCGAAATGTCTCAAACTTTAGCATGAAACCTGTTAAGGTCTGTTGCTTTGTTTAATTCGCTTTACAATTAAAGAACTGATGTTAACTAGTGTATGTCTTGGATCTGTTCAGTAACTGCTTTTGAATGATGAAAATTTTGATTGCTTATATATTTTCAGAGGAATTATGCATTTGAGAGATCCGACATAGAGCGCAAAGAGAATTATGTACTTAAAATCAGTTATCCATTTAAGGTATTTTGCACATTTCATGAAGAAGATTAATGAGGTTATATGGCTCCTGATCCTTTTCCCTTCTCTGATATGGTAACTATGGACCTCCCATATTAGGTATTCCAGTATCTATTGACGCGGTATATTTTTAAATTGCAGGACCCACCACTTCCTTCAGATCTTAAGGGAGAGACCTTCTGTGCTCTGCTTGGAACACATAGCAGGTATAATGAGTTGGAATTCTGTTCTCTGCTGTACCTATTGCAGATTTCTCATGTAAATGTGTCATGCAAGAGATTTCCAAACTTTCTTGACAATGCCACTATTGAGCACTTGCATGGACACTTCTATTGTGCTTATTTCTTCTGTTGATTCCAGTATGGCAGTATATAGTTGGATATCAGCTATCAGCTATCACAATACTTGTAACTCTTTTCCATATAAAAAAGATGAATTGATCATTTAGTTACAAGGATTTTAGCTGTTTTGCTTGGTCAAGTTTGACATCATGATTTTCTGTTGTTGCTTTTCATCTTAGTGACCTGAATATTTGGTCCTTAATTTACTTCAATACTCGCTATATCTTTGGGGTGAGCTACCAAAATAGTAGTTTGCACTTTGCACCCTGACGCCTGACCTCTGTGGAGAAAGGTCTTCTGATTCAAACAAGCCTTGTTATAACTGTTCTCTGTTTTATTTATGAGTTCATTTGATATCACTGTAAACTTTTTTACACAAGAGGCATGACATGTGTCCATTCATTCATTAATTTGGTACATGTAACTTGCTTGATCAATTTATTAGTGGACGCTATGTTAAATTTTAAAGCTGCTCTTGCAAGCAATTATGCATTTTGCCAGCATTAAATTTGCATCATTGTATTTAGGATATCTAGAGAAAGAGTAGCATTTGAAGCTGGTTGTTGGTACTATATCTTAATTTGCTTAGTAAATGTTCTAATATCATCATTACTGTAACTCCCAGAAAGTTGAAACAATTAGACCGAGTTCTGAACTTAGAGCTGAGTTAGACTATGATCATGATGACCCATCCTTGATAAATTTTCAATATTTATGGTAGAACCTGAAAACTAAATATTGTGTTTTATGCAGCGCTTTGGAGCTTTTTCTTATCAAAAGAAAGATAAAGGGACCCTCGTGGCTGTCAATTTCAAAGTTCTCTAGCTGTACCACTGCTCAGCGTGTGAGGCTTTTAAATTGCTTTTTTTCCATTCACATTTAGGGTTGTTCACCATAACATGCTGAAATTACTTTGTTTACTGCAATTACTTGATTACACCTTGAGCAGGTTAGCTGGTGCAAATTTGAGGTTACTGTTGATTGCCCAAAGGACATTCAAGTTGCAACTTCCTCAAAAAATACTAGTGAGATTCCTCCTGTGGTTGTTACTGCAATCAATCTGAAAACCATAATAAACCAAAAACAGAATACAAATGAAATCGCCTCTGCATCTGTCATCTGCTGTCATAAGGCTAAGGTACCTAACATTTTTTCGGAAATCTTGCTCATAACATTAATTATGACATTAAATGTATGTCTACATTGTTCTCATGTGACGCACATATTTTACTACTTAATTTGAGTATGTTATTATTATTATTTTTTATTTAATTGTACATCCTATGTAAATCGGCTTCAAATTGATGACTGAACCTTTCAGATCGACACACCTATGTTAGCCTCAGAATGGACAAGGCCTGGAATGCTAAGCCATTTTACTGTTGTGCGAAAGCTTGAGGATGGCTTGTTTCCAATGGGGTTTAGTAAAGAGGCAGCAGATAGAAATTTAAAGGCCGGATCGAACATCATTAGCATGGAGAGCAGGCAAGTTTTGGTTTCAAATTGTCTTGTCTTATTTGAAAATTTCTGCCTCATTGATCCAGGGTTCAGTTTCTATGGTTAGTGCTCTAATTCAGTTGTTACGCATGTTTGCAGTGAAAGAGCTTTATTAAACCGGTTGATGATCGAATTACACAAATTAGATAGTGATGTTCTTGTTGGCCACAACATATCTGGATTTGACTTGGATGTTCTTCTCAACAGAGTGAAGGTTGAAATATTAACACTATGGTTTTTTTTTAATGTTAGATGTATGCTTGATCTAATGAATTTAGAAAATTGATGGTTGTGGTATGTGATATTCATCGCTTTATGAATTTTACAGAACTTGATTTAATGAAGACATATATTTACTTTCACTTCCACTAACATATATTAATTATGATGGTATTGCAGGCTTGCAAAGTTCCTAACAGCATGTGGTCCAAAATAGGACGGCTCAAGCGCTCTGAGATGCCTAGACTTAATAAAGGGAGCACAGTTTTTGGTTCCGGAGCAAGTCCAGGAATTATGTCCTGCATTGCAGGCCGGCTCTTATGTGACACCTTTTTGTGTGCTCGTGACCTGTTGAAGGAGGTCTGGAGACTTAATTGGGTAATATAGCAAAGACAATTAGTGGTGTGTTTTTCTCACAAATGAAACTTTTCTTCCAGGTTAGTTATTCGCTCACAGAACTTGCCAAGACTCAATTGAGTAAGAACCGGAAAGAGGTTGCTCCACATGACGTTCCCCGGCTGTTCCAAAGTTCCCAAACCCTAATGGAGCTTGTATGTTCTACTGCTCAACTTGATCAATTTTTTATTTTCATGCTAATTGTTTCCAAACTCGGTTAAGGTTTGGATATATGCATTAAAATATAGCTCAAACATCATTGTTGCCTGAGATGATCAGCTTAGTTGGAAAGTTTGAAGTTCTTAATATTTCAAATAAAAACTACATTTGGTTGCAGCTTTTATGGTGGATTCATAACAAAATTTTAAACTTAAGCTGTTTGACTCGTTAAAACAAGTCAATTCTCATAAAAGCCCTCATCAAGAACCTGTATCTTCTTAGCCCAGAGATTGCGAGTTATCTTATTGTTAAGGAAAAAAAATCTTAATCTAACTGCATTATGGATGATCATTAACACTGTGGATTTGCAGATTGAAATCGGGGAGACAGATGCATGGTTGTCAATGGAACTCATGTTCCATTTGAGTGTTCTTCCCCTCACACGTCAACTGACAAATATTAGTGGTAATCTCTGGGGAAAAACTCTTCAGGTAATCTAAGTGAAGTATCCACCGATGTATTTTTGCACACACCTTTGTCAAACACAATTAAAAGACTATTGCATGTGTATACATGATTTCAGGGTGCTAGAGCTCAAAGAGTCGAATATCTTTTGTTGCATGCATTCCATGCTAAGAAATTTATGGTACCAGACAAGTCTTATTTGCCAAAGGAAGGCAAAACAGTGAAACGTAAATCGGATGGCCTTGAGGACAAAGTAATCAATGATTTGGGTGTGAATGATGAGATACAGTCTGAGCCTGTAAAATCCAAAAAAGCACCTGCATATGCAGGTGGACTGGTGTTGGAACCCAAAAGAGGTCTATATGATAAATATATTTTACTTCTGGATTTCAACAGTCTCTACCCTTCTATCATCCAGGTTTGTCATATCTCCACCAAACTTACCTCTTGGCTCTCCAAATGTCTGTTGACCACACCTTATATGTTTCTGTTTGCTTGTTTTTTTGATCAGGAATATAATATCTGCTTTACAACAGTAGAGAGATCCCAAGATGATTTACTTCCCCGCTTACCATCTTCCAAAGCAACTGGAGTTCTTCCTGAGGTAAAGGACCTTAACTCATCTAAAACCGTGTGCCAGAAGAAGAGGGAAAAAGAATTGTCATCATGGTTGCAACAAACACCTTATAACACAATGGCAGCTCTTAAAATTTTAATTGTGTTCCGATAAATGACAAGGGGAAAAATAAAGAACGTCAACTTTCTGCATTGATCTATATTAATGCTAGTCAATAATTTGTGGATGTTGGTCTTTTTGAAGGAGGATCACTCAATTAGAAGGATCTTAATCCATATTTTTTTCACAACTCAACTGAGTTTAGAATTTACTAAATTTATTTGATTGGAATGGTTTAGTGTTTGGAAAAGATATTCATATGCTGTAACTTTATGTAGTTACTCAAAAATTTGGTTGAGAGAAGGAAACATGTTAAAAAGCTGTTGAAGACTGCAACAGGTCTCAAGCTGCAACAGTTTGATATACAACAGCAAGCACTGAAGCTAACGGCTAATAGGTTTGTGTTGCTGCCATGCTTCCTTCTTCTTGTTGAATCCGTTGTTTGGCTTACCAGCGTCTCTTTCCCCCTTGCTTGCAGTATGTATGGATGCCTGGGTTTTTCCAATTCCAGATTCTATGCAAAGCCACTTGCAGAACTTATTACGCTACAAGTAAGAAATGCCACGAGTTTCTTCATAAAATAGGAAATGGTCATGTGGTATTTATGGAACTATCACGTGATTTATTTGCAGGGGAGAGAGATTTTACAAAGTACTGTAGATCTTGTACAGAACAATTTAAACTTGGAGGTAATTTCTTCAATATTTTACTAAAGACAGTCTTGTTGAAGCATTGTCTGAATTTATATCGTCTTTCCTTATTACCAATTTTCTTGAAATATGCTCTTTTTGTTTCCAGGTGATTTATGGTGACACTGATTCAATTATGATATACACTGGACTTGACGACATCAGTAAAGCCAAATCTATCGCAGGAAATGTCATCAAAGAGGTGGGATTTCAATGACAGAATCAGGTTTTGAAATATACTCAACATGGATGTGTAAAGTTTAGGCCATATTTCTCATTAAAACCTCAGTACTCTAGATATGATGCACATTGTTTTTTTTGGCTCTTCATTGCTTAAAAGAATCTTGCTTCTGTTGCTGTGAGATAGTGTAATATTAATCATGCATTGTCTATATAGATGAATATACAGACTCTTAAGTCTGTTCCTTCTCCATGAAGCAATTTAGATGTTTCCTGCCATATTGTATTCTTGTAAATAGTCTATTGTCAGTTGACTTCCAATTCTGTTCAATATTAGGTCAACAAGAGATACAAGCGTTTAGAAATTGATCTTGATGGTCTATACAAGAGAATGCTGCTACTTAAAAAGAAGAAATATGCAGCCGTTAAAGAGCAAATTAGAGATGGGAAAGTGTACAAGGTACTTAATCATATGCATCTTCCAGGTATTTGAACATTTTTAAATTGCACTCTTGTTAGAAGGGGATTCTTTGGAGTGTTCCATGAGCTTTTTAGTAGGTTTTGCTTGCTCAACGATCTCAACCCCCCTTTGTGTTAGTTCAACCTGTTTTTTCGATTGTTTCAGGCTTCTTTGCTTTCTTTTCCAAATTGAAAAAACAATATTCTTTCTTTAGGTGATTTTTGGCTTTTAGCTAAGCTTCTGAATTCTTTTTCGCAAGCCGTAGGTCTTTTTTGAAACAATCTCTCTACCTCTTGAGGTAGAGGAAAGGTCTGCCCGCTCAAAATCCTACCTCTGGGTGGGATATACAGGCTTTTTCTGGTTTGATTTATATTAATTATTTTAGTTCCTAATGGTTGTCATATGTAGGTTATAGAGCGGAAGGGTCTTGATATGGTTCGACGTGACTGGAGTTTGTTATCAAAGGAGACTGGAGATTTCTGCCTGGGACAAATATTATCTGAGCTGTATGTCCATTCATGTGTCTTCTTCTCCACAATAAGCATTATGACTTCCTGAAACTTACCATGCATGAACTTTTATACTGACAGGTCATGCGAGGAAGTTGTTGAATCAATACACAACAAACTCAGGAAGGTATACCCATAAATTAAACCAATCGTGAGCACTTTAAAGCTAAAGCGTTGGCTTGCATTTTTAAATTTAGGATAGTAGTATCAGATAGGATCTACTCATAGTTGTCAAAATAATTTTCTGAAATGATTTGATTCATAAGCAAACATTACAAATCTCATAAGCAGCTTGGAACACTGTTTGAACCAATGCTGATTTGCTTAACAACAGAAAGAAAACCAATTGTAGGTCTGCCTACATGGTATGCTTTCTAAAAGTGTTAGTTTACCCTTATGTACATCAGAGAATTTAACCATACTTATGAACATATAAGCAGGTACAAGAGGATATGAGGAATGGAGAAATAGGTTTGGAGAAATATATTATTACGAAAACTTTAACCAAACCACCTGAAGCCTACCCAGATGCTAGAAGTCAACCTCATGTTGAAGTAAGTAATGGGACAATCCTCTGTTATGTCCACCTCACCAAAATTTTGTATTTCTCACTTATGGGTTTATTCACACATCTCTCGTTATATGGTTATTCATCCACTTGCCGTACTCCTATTTAGGTTGCACTCAGACTGCGGAAACTAGGATACACCAGTGGTTGTTCTGCTGGTGATACAGTTCCGTATATAGTTTGCTGTGAGCAGGTTTGTGATGAAGGTTTTACCCACTTATTTATTTTGGCGCTCTCCGGTTTACACCATTTTATTTCTGTCATTTCTTATTTATACTGACAGGGGAAAGGTTCAAGTACATCAGCAGGGATTGCTCAGCGTGCAAGACATCCTGATGAACTGACAAAGGATAATGAAAACTTGATGATAGACATCGACTATTATCTGGCACAGCAGGTAGCAGTTTTTACTTTCTAGTCCCTTTATCCTTGTTCTTTTTGAAATCTATAATATTTATATACAACATGCACCCTTATCACTTAAAGTTTGAACTTTTAGGAAGCTGGGCTTTACTAGTAACCTGGATACGGCTGGGTTGTTTTTGAGTTTTCTTGTAGTTCTTGTTCTATTCACTCTCTTCTGAAAGCTTTTTTATGGTTCGTGCAGATTCATCCGGTAGTATCACGTTTATGTGCATCAATCGAGGGTACAAGCCCAGCTTGTTTGGCTGATTGTTTAGGGCTTGATCCTTCCAAGGTACAGAGCTGTTCTCTTCAAGCCTTAGTAGTCGGTAACAGTCCAAATATCAGTGGTGCATTAACTAGTAATTTCGTTTATGATTTCTTTTTTAGTTCCAAAGCAAATCAAGCGAAGTCGCAAACAACGATCATTCAGGCTCAGTTCTCTGCATGACAGATGATGAAGAGAGGTGAGCACTTTAGCTTTTGCTTTTGGCAACTTTTGAAGCAAAAATATTTACTTTCTCTTCTAAAAAATGTTACCAACTATGTTTCTACAACTTGTTGATAAATTTTTGGTGGGATGTTGGTAGTAGAATGAGAATTGTAATGTCGATTGCAGATACCGAGGTTGTGAGGCGTTAAGTTTGTCATGTCCTGGCTGCTCTGCTACTTTTGAATGTACATCTGTTCTCAGTTACATACGTACAGCAACCAACCTTGAAAAGCCAGCAGACTTGGCATCCAACACCAGCTTCTGGCACAAACTATCTTGCCCTAAATGTCAACTGGAAGTTCCTCCACCATCAATAGCCAACCAGGTAAATTAAGAAATGATTTTTAATGTGTTTTATGCAAAGATGGGGCCGTAAATGGTTGTTGGTAGCAGGTAAAAAGACTAGCTGAATCTTTCATATCAACATACTACAAGGGATTAATGACGGTATGCAACCAAGCAAGCATTTATTTCACATTACAAGAGTAGAGAGTTGTTTATTAGGTAGGTGACTTCACTATGTAAAAATTTCAGTGTGATGATGAAACCTGCGATTATACTACACGAAGCTTGAACTTGCGAGTGGTTGGGGACTCAGAGAGAGGAACTATATGTCCTAATTATCCTCGCTGCAACGGTCGTCTAGTAAGACAGGTAGGCCTTCATCTCTCTAAAATCACATCATTTTGTCACATCATTTACTGAAACTTGTTTATCTTGACTAGTATTCCGAAGCAGATGTGTACAAGCAACTCTCTTATTTCTGCTATCTCCTAGATGCTGCTCGATGCATCGACAAGGTTAATTACTAATATATCCTTTTTTTTGGCTTCATATTTCTTGTGTTCCAAAATTTATGGTGATTATTATGAGTTCCAGGTTGATGGCAAGCTTCGAGCTTCAGTTGAGAAAGAAGTTGCTAGGATAACACCGTTGGTTGAATTAGCCTCGTTGACAGTGCACAAGGTTAGGGACAGGTGTGATTATGGTTGGGTCAAACTCAATGATCTATTCTAATTACTTTGAAAACAGATGTGGCAGGAATTCCTGTCCAATTAAATTGTATTCAATAGTGCACTGCTTTCTCTTTTCTTGTATTCTCAAGAAGGAAAAAAGTGAAGATTACATGAAATGAATAGGAATGAGGTGAAGAATGTATTGCATTTAAATCTTTATTAATTAATTGATTAATTAATGTATATGGTAGCATAGCAGTACAAGAAAAAGTCTTGAAAAATAAAAACTATGATTATGTATTGAAGGAAGTGAGTTTATTATGGTGATGGTGATGTGTACATCTGTCCTTTACTACTGCAACTCCCCGACAGGTGCTTCGTTAAGCCATAGGAAATGAATGAACTCGTACAACTTTGCGCTTACACTAACCTGCAACTCCACCAAAAAACTTGACACTGTTAATAAGAGATTGATTTGTTTGTTTTGTACAATAACATAGTACATGCATAGCATATTAGTAACCTTGTAGGGGGTTGGATTGAGTCTTCTCATGTGATCAGTCCGCATATGCTCCAGTTGCTTCATACAGTGATCTCTGATCTGCTCGAGCGTTGGCAACTCTTCTCTTTTTTTCTCTAAATGTATACAAATAAAAACTCAGTTTAGTTCATAGGACAATGCAAACACACATGGTCGTCAACTGCATCCTAAAGTGACTCACCTGCACTTCCAGGCCAATAACACTTCATGAGATCCTCAACACGCTGTGGTACCACATATGCTCTCTTTGATTCATTAAATGGGTGTCGGCATAAAATCCTTTGCCCTACCTGTTACTTTAACATATTAATCTCAATCCGTTGATAACACCCATGTACTAGGTGTAGGTTTCTACAATCATAGCAAAATAAGGAAATAGAGTTTTCAGGAAAAGAATCATTTTAGAAAACCTAATGGTCAGGAAGGTACTTTTGAATGTCATTTTTTACATATGTGTGAGTGAATCTATGGAGAACAGTTCTGGACCAAAACCAAGTAGCAAAAAGCTTCTTATAAGAGGTGATCTTAATGGTCATGTGAGTAGAGATGCTAGAGGTGCTAAAAGGATTTGCGGGTGTCGGGTACAGTGCTAATTGAGGAGGGGGAATTCTTAAATTTTCTAGTAGTTATGATTTGTTGGGTTAACACTTCCTTCAGGAAACTTAACCTTTGGTGGAGGTCAAAACTCTAGTCCAATGAACTTTGTTCTTAAAGGGGTGGGATGATGCATAAACTTTAGAGACACACATGGGATGATGGGAATTTTGAAGTAATGCCAACACAAACTTTTGGTGGCAAATGGCCACATTCACCATCGTGTTAGTGGTGGTTGTAAATAAATGATGGAACATACAATGGAGGCAACTTAAGTATGCTTAATGATTGCACTATTAAAGAAAGCTAATAGGATGTGCAATGAGATGACCAGTTGCACTTGAAGGGTAACAAAGGAAACATAAACATCAAAGTAAAGACGTCGCGGTGTTGGAATGAGGATGCACAAATAGCTACTATGGAGAAAAAAAAATGCCAAACTCATGTATGGTTGTAAGAGTATAGACTATCCCAATTGGGCTCAAAGTCTGGAGTTCATTGGCATGTAGTTTGTATGGTCTTCTTAGAAATCCATTAGAGTTAGTTTTCACCTATAGTACTTGAGGCTTTATTTATCAGTTGGTTCAGTTTTGTTCCTTGGTTCTCTGTTTGCAGACAACTTGTCTGATTTTCAACAAAAGAAAATTGGCCCTTTTTTTCTAGCAAAGGGAAAGAATTAGCCAAGAGGTAAGCTAAAAAACAATAAGAGAAGATAAATATAAAGAGTCACACACTTTGTCGTTTGATTCCACTGTTTGATAATTTGTTTTAGTTCTACTTTTAGACTAAACAACTTGTTATAATGAAGAAAAATTCCTCCACATCTTACCAACAGTATTTGACGCTATAATTTTAGTGAAAGTTGACATGTTTTACAAAAGCATATACAACAAGGGCATGTCATGATAACTCCCAGCAGATAATTTACCAGAAGGCATAAAATGAGTATACACAAGGAACTTGCCTTTGGAGGTGGTTCATTTTCCCCGGACATTATATCTACAAGGGCATAACCTTCCTTGCCATACAATCTGAAAGACCGCTTTTTACATGGAATGGAGACCTAAAACCAAAACAGCCATGTGAAATACTAAATTCATAATGCGACATAACACAGCAACTAGTGATTCCAAACCTTTGAGACATCTTCTGACAGCTTTATACGGGGCTGGTCATTTATCTCAACAAGCTTGAACACACAACCTAGAGCAGGTTGAGCAAAGCATGTGACCAAATAGGTCCCGATACCAAAGGAGTCGACCTCATGGCCCTGAGCAGGACAAGTAACTAAAATTAACTTAAAATGGTAGAGTTGAACCGAAAAGTAGATGTCACTCAATTTACAATCACATAGAACTTTGGCAAAAAAAATCTCCTGAAGCGGTTTTGAAGAATCTTATGAGTGTTGGCTTCATAATAACTTACCTGTTTGTTTAAAGCATCTAAAGTTTCCTCATTAAGGTCATTGCTAGCAGTAATACTAGTCTTTCCAAAACCCAGAACCTGAAATTCTTTTTCCACATTGTGAAAAAACTTTCTGGCCTCACATGACAGATAAGCAAGGTCACCAGAGTCTAATCTAATGCCCTTCGCTTTGTACCTGCAGAGAACAGTAATCAAGCCTAGATATGAGATAGTAAGCACACCAGAAAAAAAGCAACAGATGGGTTACATTAAATAGTTTTGAAACAAAGAATTATGCAGTTATGCATACTGCAAGTAGTCCTTTGGTGCATTCATAGTTTCATACCACCCACCTCTAGCAAGATAGAGATTGGGTGAAAATACTGCACCCCTAAAAAGATATTGCATTATAGATAAAGCATTCAAAAAACATTACAAATAAAAATGTATCCCATATATCAGAAGATAAAAAGAAATAGAACAGATACAGCCACAAAATAATCTATAGGTTCAACTCAACTTGGCTTTTACCCATCGATCACTTAGGGTCCACTATTTTGAATCCTTACTCAATTTTTTTCTCGACCGTAGAGCAGTATGTCTGTCCAAAGGCATGCGAAAAGAATTTGACCTTGCCGATAATTACAAATCATAATATCATCATCATGATATCTTGACTTAGAGGGCTGAAAATGGATTGCGAAACAGTTGCATATTGATTTAACTTCACCACAATATTTTGTCTAGCTGTTTCAAGTTTAGAGTTCTCACAGCAAACCTATGCATCTACCTATTAACGCTCTTCCACATTTTATTAGGATAGATATAGGCCTTGAGATGAGGACATTTACAGTGTAATTACTTTCAGGCATCCCCAAGTACTTAGATTTATTAAGGATGAATTGTTAGCTGTGAGCATTCATCAAAATGCAAACACTTACATGAAAGAATATGGAAATTATGCATGATTAACATGTTAAAACATACCCCATATCATTTAGTGCTAGAGCAACAGCACAAAAATTAGGAACACCACTCCGCATCACCTGTATGGAACCACAGGACTAGTATTAGGTAAAATCAGTGGAAGTAAAAAATATACATACGTAAACAATTTGGCCTCCAGCAAAAAATAAATTCACCATGACTGATGTTAATTAAATCATCCGAACATGGGGAGAGAAGGAAACACAGCAAAAAAAATAATTTCACCATGACTGATGTTAATTAAATCATCCGAACATGGGAAGAAAAGGAAACACGGAAGCAATTATTTAGTACAATTGGCAGTCATAGAAGAAAATGTGCAACTGTAGGCTCGTTATGAGAAGCAATTGCTCAGGGCGCAGAGGCAAAATGTTTACTTGAAATTACATGCTTCCAAGATACATTCAAAGAAAAAACTAAACAAATAAATATGTAAGCATGTAATCATGATATCAAATGAGAAAAACAACACCCACGGAAATTTTATGACTTACATCATAAGTGTCCACAAGAGCCAGAAATTTGTCGGGAAATGCTAGGGCATATGAAACAAAAGCTGCTAGTTCACTTTGATTAGTCTCCCCAAAAACGCCTTCTGATAAACTTAGCCGCTGAAACATACGCAAAAGTAGAGCACCACAATGTGAGACATGGGTAGAAAAATGCTTATACTAGGAAAAAAATAGAAATTTAAGTATTTGACAACTAAACTTCAAGTTGGACATTAGTAAATGCTTTCCTAAAACCGCAGAAAGTTTAGGCAACTCTTAGGGAATATTGCACTAAAGTACCTTCACTTTTAACAATTTGCAAAGAAAACTATATTATAAAATCTTTGTGGCATGCATACCCATACTTTTAACACCGTGCACAAATTGTTTTTTTTTCAAGTATACAATATTTATATACAACAAATGCAACAAATAAACTTACACATGCTCCTCAACCTTGGTAAAATCTGAACCCCTGACCTTCCCAGGACGAGTTCTTGAGAAAATAGACACGTGAAGCCAAAAATCCTTTAATTTAAGATAAAATAATCACACCAAGTAGATGCTACTCATGGATGGGGTTGAAATGGAAACAATATGGAGGTACAATTCATAGACATAAATTAATGTTGATCAACAGTGAATATCTTTATTAACAATTTCACTCCTGATCCACAATGTACATTGTGCATTGTAAATTACATATCAACGTATGTTTCCTTTTTGACTAGATATACGAGTAACATTTACAGGGTGGACTATTTTTCCATTCATTAAAGGTACTTTTGATGCCTCTTGAACTGCTAAAACAGGAAACAGCAAGTGAAGCTAAAAGAGAGGTCAAATTTGTTGGTCATATGATTTGAAGCATATTAGGTCAATTATTTATTTCTTTTAACAGAATAGTCTTTACATTAGCTATTATACCACTCTGAATCCATAACCAAAACAAACACTAGCAAAATCCAAGAGATATATAAGTATATAACGCACCTTCAGTTTGCTTAACCACGTCTGTGTGAGACTAACAAAATCCTTGCATACTCTTGATCCATCTTGAGATTTCAGGGACTTCTTTGTAATCTCATCAGGTCCCTAAATATCAATAAATTGAGTAAGATAAGTGATAGAAGTGTAGGAAAACATCAAAGTTTATATAGGAGCTTCTTGGCTGCACAACTAAAGTTACAGTGGTAGTTTGAGATTTTACAAAGTGAAGAGTAATTAGAAAATCCGTCTTAGTGTGATATACCAAGATAATCCTAGTTGAGAAATAAATCAAGACAAACATTGGTGTGGCTTAAAGCAATGAAAAGGAACAAAAATCTCCACGACAGCAATAGTTCTGACATGTACAGCTGACGGTAAATGCTTCTAGTTTATAAATATTCCCCTCATACATTTGGACATCCTAACAGTAAAAAAGGTCTCTTTCCTCCGTTACTTAACATGAATTGTTCAAAACACAAAAAATGTATCTAGAAATGGTTGACTAAGAAAAAATCACAGCAACTTGCCAAGTCAATGTTTTGTGACTTGGCCTCATAAAACACTTGGAATGCACAAGCACATGATGGTAAAAGGTAAATATACTGATCAAACCCACATTTTTGAAAGAGATGAATGCATTAACATCAGGTGCCCTCAATGATTAATAATTGAAATGCCCATCAAACATTCTGTATGTGATTCAATTTTTTGATTGTGATTGATCAAAAATTGTACTTCGCAGAACACTGGGAAAACATAAAGATAAATCCATCATGAGATATATATGAATCAAATTTAACACAGATTAATCTCATTTATTACTTCTGAAACCTTTATGTCCCTTGAATTTCCACATATAAAAACACAGTTCCAAGCAGCTTTTAGCTACTTCCTGTATTAGTCTAAAACATTCTGCTCAATGCATAAAAGGCATATATGGATTTCAGATCAACAGTCAGACACTAATCTCTATCCCAGATAGACTGTATCTCTTCCCTTGAAACATATATATAAGTGAATGATAGCAGTGCCAATTAAGAATGACCAGGAAAGAAAGTAACTTTAAAATTAATTGCAGATGAAAATTGAACTTTCACTGATAAACTGGTTGTATATCACACCAACCGTGAACGAGCTGACAAAAGCATGAGAATGAGTTCCCCGGAGTGGTATTCCAAATAATTTTCCAGCTGCACAATTGCTATCAACACACAACAAAAATAACACTGTTAAAGAACATGTGAAGTAATAGATCATTAAAATGATGAGAACTAAAATCCATGGATGTCCAGAAGGTGCATATAWATTCCCTAACATGATCTAGACACAACACATAATGACACCCCTTAAGCCTATAGCAGTGGATTAAGAATGCACATTCTACATGGATTAAGCAGAATATCATGATAGAAGTCACTGCCTAACATCATAATGTCCAGAGAGACTGTAAGTGCATTATGTTCCCTAATATACAAGCCAACATTCTTATCCTTTTTCCCTAACAGGGGTGCCAAGCAGGATCAAAAGTAGGACTGAGAGTTATAGACCTCCCCATGGCCAAAAGATTTCAATGGTTTACTACCATCTATGGAACATATGTGGTGAACAGGATCACCTTGTTGCATCAAATCCTCCCATGTAGCAATACCTCGATGCCCCTATGCCACCATCTGGGCCCTATAGGTAGAAGATACAAAAAAAATTCTTTTCTATTATAACCCACCAAATCAGTTAATAATATAATATAGAAAGATTGGAATGTCTAAAACCTGTGCCCGCCGAAGTCCAAACTCAAGAAGAAGTTTGGATTTTCCAGCAACAAAACGGTGCCTTGCAGCATTTGTAGTGACTAGAGAAGCGTAATTTATAAGATTCACAAAAGGAGTTTCCAACAGTTGAACCGCCTGGAAAAACAATATATATGCTTTATGGGTCTTACTAAGGAAAAAGAAACAATACAAATAGCATTTGGAGATTCAATTGCTTTGTCTGGATGTTTCTAGAAATATCTTGCAGAACAGATGATAATCCGGTTCGTAAGACTCACAGCCACAGGGCCTTCAATCCTCATCAAGGGTACTTTAGGGAAGACGACAGATCCCTCAGCAATAGCATATACCTCAACATCAGAACAATCGATTCCTCCTAGATAATCAAAGAAGCCATCCTGCATGCAGCATCAAAAGGTTAGTTAATGGCCCTTCAACTCTTTGGTAGTGCATGGAGTATGGAAGAGAATTAATAGAATCAATGCACCAGTTAAAAGCAGTTTAAGATGTGTCAAAAGAAAGTAAAGTTTTCTTGGCTGCTGGATAGAAGCTTAATGAATGAAAGGAGATGCAGTTTTCTGTACATCATGTATTAATATATTGACTAGCAAACAAATGTCTAGCTCGGTTGGTATTGAAGGGTTCCTCTCATTCTCCTCAACCTCGCTGTTGCAGGTTCAAGTCTCATGGGAGACATTATTAAACGGTTAAGAATATATATGTATAACAAAGTGGAAACTGAAAGGAATAATAAACAATTCAAAACACATGATTTGCTAGCAGGTACCATACATGTGGGTCATGGCCTGGATACTATACCGTCCTGTGTAGTTCTGGTGCATTGGCACTGATATCAACGGCCAAAGATCCTTACTAAACTGCATTTTCTCTGGTTCACTTGCCTTATTATTTTAATGAGAGGACTCGTCACTTAATGATTACAACTAATTTCATTTTTGTCCAAGATTATATTAGATTCACTTTAATTTCCATTTGATATGAACTAACCATACATTACTTTTGATTCCACTCGGTTCATACTTACCTCACATGTAGGAGATAAACATTCTCGAACAAAAGCAATCTCTTCCTTCGATAATTTAAAATTAGCAATGAACCTTACGCACTCTTCGAGACCTGCAAAAACCGTATATTCACCACCAAACGGGTTCCTTCGAAAATATAAGTCAAACCTGAAACAAGCCCATGATTATAGACAATCCAATAAGGTTACACAATTATGAAATCTCAAAGGCTTTGATTAAATTAATCAGTATGAACAGCAGTTATACAGTAGATCGAGCTTAATTACCATAATAAATTTAACATCAATCAATAAGAAGTAATCATTTGTTCCAGATACCATTCAGTTGATGAAAAGTTCTGGTCTTATAGAAAAACAGATTTAAATCAACAGATCATATCTAACATATTCAACTTTATAATACATAAAAGATAAGGACTTTGAATTTGAGAGCAAAGTACTCTGTCAAGACAAATGTCAGTTGCTTATACTCCTTGAATCTGATACAGTTGCCTCTTTGTTGTCATTTATTCTTTGTTTTATTAGGTTAGAGTAGATTTCAACAGGATATCTTCTAAAGGAGTAAAGAACAGTGTGACTTCCGATTATCATTGCCATTGATACAAGGTCACAAATATATGCCATGGTTGGAAAACTATGTTTCTTTTCCACTTTCCTTATTTTCAGGCAGGTGGACGGGTAGTATTTGCAGAACCAAACCTTTAATCAGTAGTGTAGTCTCAAGCTTATGTAATCAAGCAGGTAGCAGATTTATACTACCATCTTATGTTGGTTTAACACTTGAATTCTGGAATTTCTTTCAGATGGATGAACAAATTATATACATCTTGAAATCAATTTCAAATAAAGTTTTATAATAAACAGTAGACAACAAGGACATTTTCCATCCAAAACTAGAAACAGATAATATTGATCTCAAACTACAAAAAGTATTATCACTAACAAATCACTATTGTGAAAACATTAATGACTTTATCAACTTGCAATTAAAAAATAGCCTATGACCATAAAAGTATAAAGGAGGCCAACTTTGGATGGACGCACCATATACATGAAACGAAGGCCTATATACTATCTCTATATGTGTGTGTATGTTATATAATGTTCTTCTAACGTTTAGCATAAATCCTTTCTGGTTGGTGATTGATGCACTCTGTCTCTTTAATCTTTGATATTCAAAAAACACAACCTAAAGTAAGACTATCATTTTTTATAAACCTAATACACTGATTCCGGAACCTCTTCGGCTCTTCTTATAGTTTCATATATACGTCTGAATAAAGGAATCAAAACTTATTCAGCCTCGAAATGTCAGTATCTACGGAACTTCATAATTCAACATCCAAAATGCTATAATTTCCTATTTATCTCCAAAATTCGGTCCCAACAGATCAACAAGTTTGGCAAATGACACTTGAAATCAACTATTACAACTTAAATTAATTCTATTAACCTATGAGTTCTTCGGTTTATCATAAGACTAATACGCTTCCAAGATGAATTACATTAACCGAGTGCATCTGAATACAAAATTCAAACACATACCAAACAAAAATTTCAAATAGAAAAAAAAAAAAAAGCAAGATGAACAAATTATAAACAGGAATTGAGAAACTAACACAGCACGGTCGTTATGTTTGCCGGCTTTCCAATAAGCATAAGCCATGGTGAACTGATAAAGATCTGTAAGGAGTGGCGTAACCATTGGATTGGTTGGACCATTGATTGCCGGCGTACTCCGATTCTGTTTTCCATCTTTTACTCCGCCGTTAATCTTGGGTTTGGCTTCCATTATATGTAACCAAATTACAACACAATTTCTCTAGGGCTTCCTAATCTTCTGCTGAGTATCAACACATACACAAGTGTAGAGATGTATGAGAAATAAAGCTACTGCTATTTGCAAAACAACCAGAAAACAAAGAAAAATACAACGAAGAAGAAGAAGAAAGGAAGAAAGGAAGAAATGGATGCTCAATGCAAACGACCCGACAAAATATATAGGCCCTCCCACATTTTCATTTTTACTCAATTTTACGGATTTGCCCTTGAAAATTGTTTAGTTTATTTTATTTTTGGTTATTTTTAAAGTTTTTATTTTTGTATATCTTAATTACAAAGCATCTTTAAGTCTTTGATTATTATATAATTTGTCTTATTTAAAGCATATATTATATTGTAAATTGCATTTTCCTAAGCTAAGGATATGTTTTTAAAGTGTTAACGGAAATTTCGATATTAAAATTTTAGTTTGTAAATTTATATTGAGTATCACATTGTTAATTATCGTATTTATTTATTTCGTTAAATCACACATCAAGTTAAATATTACATTTTTTTTAAGTTTTTCAATTGTATTTTACTCTTATTTAAGTTTTTTTTAAGTATACTAGAATTGTACTCGTGCAATGCATTGCAGTGAGATATATCTTGATTTTAATATTTCATTTTTTTTTTATCTCAATCGATGTTATAATGTGGTTTTATGTGATTTTGAAAAAACGATTATGTTTTTATTTTTGAATAAAATATAAATTTGAAGATATCATAAAAATTTGACAAAATTATATCGATATTAATATCAAATTAACTATTTAAAATTCCTTATTTTTATGTATTTTTTAATTCAATTTTTTAATTATAATTTAGTTTAAGTTCAATAACGAAGTAATTTATATTTGGTTTAATAATATAATTTTATTATAAAGATAATAGTTAATTATTTTGTTAGAACTCGATAATTATCCTGATTACATTTTAGATTTTTTATATTTTAAAATGAGATGTTTATACTCTATCTGATTCTGTTTATCCGCAGTTAGGTACACAAATTCAAATATGAAACTTTAATAAGTTGTACTTATGCATAATTTACTTGTAATCTTGAATTTTAAGTAATATGCATTAATATACAGTATTTCATGCATAAAAAATAATTTTTTAAAAGTTTTTGTCAAATGTTTTATAATATAGTATAGATAATATTTATATACAACAAATATAATAAATAAACTCACACCTCCTCTTCATATTTAATGAGATTTGAATCTATGACTTCTTAATAGACCAAAGACTCACATACCGTTGGAACAAAAACATTTTTTGTAATTTTTATAAGTTAATTTTCATATACCATCAATATTAAAAACTTCTTGTTTCATATATTTAGAATATTTAATAGTTTGGGATTTCATAGGAAGTCCTTTTAATTCAGTTTGAACTTTGAAGGGGCAATTGAGTAATTTGCAAAGTCGGGTCGTGGTTGGTCCTGCACTCTACATTCCATGGACCCTCTTTCTCTGCTTCTTCTACCAAGAGTTAAATACAAATTCCCTGTAATTTACATAAATTAATAATTAAAGTTTTAAAAAAATTATTAATAAAGGACGTTTTTATGGTTTCATTTTTATAACATATATTACTCTAATTTATTCAGTTAAGTTTTTGTTAGTGGAGGGCATTTTTGTCTATTCATCTTCCTCTTTCTTCGACTTCAATTTTCAATAACAAATTTGATCCCTCAAACCATTTTTACTTTTGTAACATATTTGGTCTCTCAAACTAATTTATATTAGTACAACAAGTTTGGTGTCTCAAACAATTTTTTTATTTTATAACAGATTTGATCTCTCCCTCAATTTTCATTTTTGGGATTTGGTCCCTACATTTAATTAATAAACGTTGGTGACACTAACATATATTTTTTAAATATAATTAAATAAAATTTAAAGCTTAGATTTTGTCATTAAATATTTTATCTTTTCAAAAACATTACTTTCATGAAATCCTTTAATTCACATAAAATATAAATTTGATAAATTTTTGTTTTGGTTAGTTGAAAATTTAGAAGGTTTTAAAACTACCCAACAATTTTTTATGTATATAACAGTTAAATTTATATTTTGTATATTAATATTAAATTACTTAAAATTATATTTTTATATTTTATTATTTAATATATTGTCCGGCATTTACTTCTAGTTTTTTTTTTCCAACTAATTAAAAAAAACAGTTAATATGTTTTATTTAAGCTAAAAGATCTAATGAAAATATGTTTATGAAAAAATAAAATATTTCATGAAAAAATCTAAACTTCAAATTTTATTAATTATATATAGAAAATATATGTTTGTGTCACCAAATTTTATTAGTTAAATGAAGGGGTCAAATCCTAAAAATGAAAGTTGAGATAATGACCAAATCTGTTATAAAAATAAAAAATAATTTGAGGAACAAAATATGTTATAATAATGTAAGTTAGTTTGTGGGACCAAATATGTTATAAAAGTAGTTTAAGGAACCAAATTTGTTATTGAAAATTAAAGTTGAAGAAGAGGAGGATGAATAGACAAAAATGTCCTCTCATTAAGAAAGCCTTAACTGAATAAGTTAAAGAAAAAAACCATATTCGTCATATAAATGGAACTACAGGAACGTCCCTCGTTAATAGCTTTTTTCAGGAACCTTACTCGTTAATTTATGTAAACCACGGTGACCAAATTTGTATTTAACTCTTCTACCAATTTGTGGAAAATTGTCCTATTCTTATTTTTATTTTCTTCTGTAAATTATACCTTACGTTTTATAAAAATCAACTAATTTTTATTAATCAGAAAATTACTAGTCAACACTATTAATTATGTAGTTTATCGAGTGCTTATTCGGGTAAGCGCTTATTAAATCATCTTCTCTTACCGGATGAATATAACAAGAATCAAGAATTTTACCCAGTAAGTGGTGACAATTGCTCTTACCATGGTTAACGCTTACCGAATAAATTGTGACGTATCATTATGGTAGACCAAAATCTTACCCAATAAGTAAGCGCTATGGTTGAACTTTACCGTTAATTGCTTACTGTAAAAGTATTTAGATTAACGGCCCCTTAATTACGCTTGATATCAACACCATTATTACACATGTTATTTCAGTACTTTTTACGTCATTGTACTTATTTTATTATTGGAATATTATTATAATGTTTTTAAAAATTAAAATTTTATTATTGAGGAAGCTCGTTTAGAAAGTATTTTTTAATCAAGAGTGTTCGGATCATCTTGCATGCACATCAACTAATTTTAGAGGTTTCAGATAACATCCAGGAAAATCTCCAATAGCCTTACAGCACTCGAACCAGTGACCTTTGGAGAAAATTTTCAAAATTTCAGTGTTATTATCAGCTAAACTAATCCATCAGGTTAATATTTTAAGAAGTTTTGTTGGACACTGAAGTGGTTTTTGTTTTGTAGTATTTTTGATAGGAATAAGAATTGTTAACTGAGATGAATTTGTTTTGATCATAAATTTCGTTGGCGATAAATGTTATAGAATTCAATTAGATTCATTTAAATTTATCAGTTCACTTCGTATAATTTAAAATATAATTTTTTATTTGTTCTAGAAGTACATAATTGAAAATGAATTATAAATATTAATAAAAATTAATCGAACCACCACGTGTAAAATAACAAAAGAAAGAAGAATGGAATTGAATTCCATAATATCACGAAATAAATGACTTTTGGGTAAAGGAAATTCATTAAGGTGTTGTTTATTAAGCGCTTATCAAGTTACATTGTCTTACCGAATTAATATGGCAAGAACAAAAAATCTTACCCGGTAAAAGCGAATGCAAGGACTGAAAGTCTTACTCGGTACGTGATGACGACGACTTTTATCAATGTTAGCACTTATCAGGTAAATTATTGTATACAATACCGTTTTTGTAGACTAAAATCTTACTCAGTAAGTAATTGATAATGTTGATTTTTGCCAACAAACACTTATCCGGATAAGTGTTGGTTGACGACCCTTAAATATATCATCGATATTAGGTCATTGAAATTTATCATTTCAATTTTTTTAGATCTTAACAAATCAAAATACGATTAAAATAAACAACTACAAAATAATAATAAGAAGGTATTAGAATTTACTCTCATTCCTCGCAATCTGTTCCCGAAAGATGGCCATTTTAAAGGGGGATATGCTATCACTATCCAATCTATCATGTGGGAATAAAAAGTGGACCGTGAAAGTGATGTAACGTTTTTATAAATAACACACAAGTTTTAAAAGAATAATGTATATAGCACAACCCTTTTTACACTCCATCCACTTACATCCAAAGCTAGTTCGGATAAGGATTAGACCTTAATTTATAAAGTATTTGACAAAACTTTTAAAAGTCATTTTTTTACGCATGATGTATTGTTTATTGATGCATATTACTTAAAATTCAAGAGTACAAGTAAATCGTGCATAAGTACAACTTATTAAATCTTCATTTTTAAATTTCTGTAACTAACTGCAGATACACATAATCAAATACAAGATAATATTTTCGTTTTAAATATAAAAAACCTAAAATATAATTAAGACAATCATTGAGTTCTAACAAAATATGTAATTATTATTTTTATAAAAATATTATATTATTAAATCAAAAATAAATTACTGCGTTATTAAACCTAAATTAAATTTTTTTAAATTAAATTTATAAAAAAATTAAAACCGAGATGCATCTCGTTGCATCGCACGAGTACCCTTCTAGTTATCTATACTATATTATAAAACATTTGACTAAAACTCTTAAAAACTCTTAAACTCTTAA